AGCTGCATGAGGCACAGAGCTCAACTACAGAATACATCGCTGTTGCGTTGCCAGTTTTTGGGTATGCACTAAAAATAGCGCATATAATTACGAGGCATCTATGAAAAATCGTATTGACTGAATTTGCATGAACACACTCAATGAATGTGTGAACAGTCCCACAATGTGATTGAATCAAGCGCAGTATTTCGAATAAAATTTCCAGGCCATCCATAAATTCGAATTTATAAAATAGGAGCTATTTGTATATTTAATGTAAAAATGGTTTGACTTGCTAATTTTAGTTTTTGCTTTCTGAAAATCTCACTCATCGGCGATTATATATTTGTTAAAGTAAACTGCGTTCAGGGTACTCTGTCTCCAGCCATTACAGAATAATTGTTCTAACCACACGCTCATATGCGTCTCTATCAGATCATCACCTTATGTCACTAAAAAAAAGGTTGTTTTCCTTCACTCCCATCGCAGATTGACTGGCGATAAAAAAGACATCAATCTTGGCGACGGATCAAAATCTTCTTGTAACGTCACTCAAACAATTGAAGCCTTGTCCAATAAAAGAAGGCGGCGGAGAAGTGTCCCAGAGAATACATTGCTTGAAGGAAATAATCAAAAACTGGACAAAGAAAAATCTTACAGGTAAGGTATAGCTTTGGTCGACAAAACAACAGTCCAGAAATATCTAATTTGCTTGAAGAATGTTTGACAATAAAGAGGCGGATACCGAAAGTACAATATGTACATAATCAAACGATGCTTCTTCCAAGACTACTTTTTAAAAGCATAATGTTTTCCCCTGTTTCTGAATAAAGAAGTGGCCACCAAAAATACAGAATGTACATAATCCAACTACTTTGGGTAATGTTTTCCTTATTCTACAGTGTGTTTGTAGTTTCAACAACGCCTTGTGAAAATGATATTTGCATCCAAGCGAGTCCGCCAACACAATTAGGTGAGTTATTTTTTACGATTTTAGCGATCGGCAGATTGACAATATAAGTTACGACTCTATCTCAGCCAGGGTATACTTATTGAAAATTGCGAATTACTACATGAACAGACATGTCGGATACACTGCCAATTTTAGGTAATTCGAGTCAAACAGCTGAATTAAATACCTAGCGGTGCATGAAAGTTTTTGAATATTTGTTTTTTTGTTTATCAGGAAATGCTAATGCTTTTCAATCTTGGATAATTGCTGTAATAGTAGCTGGAGCTTGCTTGTTAATAGCTGTACTGATTATGGTTGTAGTGACAAAACGACGGTGAGTTCTTTTGCACGATATGAAGCTACAAACAAGTATTCAGTAGGTGATAAAAATGCTTGTCTAAAATTGTTTCAGATTATTGTTATAGAAACCACTTATATAGGAATAATATTTTTTATTATTATGAAATTATTTTCAAAGCATAAACAATAACCATCCGTATATTTGCGTATTCAAAATTTAAAACATGAAAAAATACTTCAATAAATAACTTCAAATTTCTATATTTATAATTAAATACTGTTATTTTAGCAAAGCGAAAAGTGAATCAAGCGAAATCGATTCGATGAACGAAGTTATCCACACAAGACCGGATAACGTGGACTCAACTTCGTGAGTATTGTAAAACTTTGCCGATATTGCCTCATATTGCCAACATTTATTGGATACGAAATGGATGAAATCGTTTTGTTATTATGTTGTTGTTCTCAATTTTCTTTTGTTAGGGAAAAATCTTTCGTTTTTTTTATTTTGCGACCTCGTGCTAAGCGAAAGTCAGAGTTTATATAATATCGGTAATGCACGATAGGTATGGTGGGTTCGTTTTCGCCTTCGTGTTCATATATTTGAGCATCGAGCATTCACAATCATTTTGTTGGTGGAAGATGAAAAGAGATATTAACTACTAAAGTGTATGAATTAGCTAATATACATATATTATTTTGCAGCAGGAAGTTTCAAAATGAAGAGACAACAACTGGTGGTTATGCTGAAGTGGGTTGTACTGCAACAAACGAAAATACTTCATCAACCTCGTAAGGATTTGTCTTGATTTTACAAAGACTCCAAGTTTGGCAAACCATAACGGACAACCCAAAAAGGATGAGGTTTATAACTTTCATCCCCTGCTTTCCTTTGGGGCTCAACCATTTAGCAACTTCAACTACCCTAACTATCTACAGACAAAATATCATTAATTTCTTGATTTTAGGGTTCAGCCTTATTGATCCAACCTTTTATTTTACGCCAAATGAATTTCACTTTGGAGTTCAACCACCCCGCCTCCCTACAAAGGCAATTTCATCAACTTCTCATTTTTAGCGTTTAGACTTTTAGTGTTTTCAAATTTGCATTTTGGGGAACAATGACACTTCCGTTTTTCTTCCACAGGCAGTCCACACATATTTTATTTTGCAACAGGAATTTTCAAAATGAAGAAGAATCAACTGATGGTTATACTAAAATGGCCTTCGCTGGGACAGCAAAAAATGTCACAACCACCCAGTAAGTTTTTGATTGGATTTTAAATCTCTCGTGGATGCAACAAAGTTTTAAATACTTATAGAAACAGTTGTAATCATTATCAATTAAAGATCTTAATACGTAAAAGTTATTTTGCAATTTTCACCCAAGATTCCACGTGTACTAAATGAATTTTAGAAAAGTGTAAATTAAATATTTTAGCCTTAGATGTATCTTTCATTTCCAGAAAATCAAATCCAAAAATACAAACCAAACCGAACACGCTGAGCGCACCAAAGACGCAAATAAATGCAGAGGAAGGTGGGTTGACAATTACTAATATCTCAGAATATCAGAGTACAGTAAATATGAATATATAAATGATCATAATAATCACAATATCCCAAGCATAAAAATATGAACCAGGATTTGAATTCAATATCACGAATACGTGGCTGAGGCATAAAATCCAGCATAGATCAGATAAATAAAAATAATTAAAATCACAATTCAACAATTATTTACAGATTTGGGTCCCTACATCAACGTAACGGCAAAATTTAAATTATCAAAATCCTCCGATACCGCTATCAGCACTTCTGATTTAGAAGAAGTTTACAATTCAATGAGAAAAAAAGAAAACTCACAGTTTTTGGATCAATTTCAGGTAATAATTTCCCCCGCGCTCCGATATCCAGTCATGGTAGTCTAGTTCAGTATCCTATATCCTAAGTTACTTTATATCCTTATATCAACGGAGCTGGTCCACGATACCGGTAACAAGTTTACGGTAACAAGTTCACGTAACGAACATTAACTATAAAAAAATCTGTATATGACGTAACAATGCAAAATTATTGTAATATTGGGCTATTTGGATATCTAATTGATAGTCTATGTCTCTATGATGCTATGGCTTAAGCCTTGTTGAACGCTCACTTTAACCTACCTAAACAATTTTATATACTCAGATACGATTCAATAAGCGAAATATCATAAAAACAGTCCGCTATACCAGGGTAAATACCGAAAATTACGGCACGGTTTATATTAGCGAATGAGTAACGTTACCGGTTACATCTGCTCTATAGCGCCTGGAACTTTTTTGGGTACCCCCGAAGTATGTGAACCAAGATGGCGGACACCGGAACGTAGTATATGTACCAGGTTAGGGTTAGGAAATAATTTTATTCCAATTTTTCCTATTTCAGTTCTATTACGAGTTCGGGGACTAGCCAAGTGACTCCCGTTGTACTGGTACCTAAAATTATGGCCTAACCCTAACCTGGTACACATACTACGTTCCGGTGTCCGCCATCTTGGTTCACATACTTCGGGAGTTTCCTATTTTGCACATGCCAACGTTATTCAACACGAAATGAACCTATGGAACGTTTCGTTTTTATTAACATGTTGTTGTTGTTGGTATTCTTCTTGTTGTTACCATATAATCGCTTTTCACTTTAAATATATACTCGGCGATTTGCTTTGAAATTTTCAGTGGTTAAATATTATATTTTTCACTAGAAGACTGGCCGTGGTAAGACTTATGTACCTAAGACTTATGTAAGACCGTATGATAAGACTACCGGTATTACTTATATTTATTACGAAAATTTCGGTGGGCTCTAAGAAATTCGGTTTTGGTGTGCGAAGACGTCATCATAATTTTGAATTGCGCTCCTTGCGGTGATTCCGCCTTCCGTGACAGGCTGTAGGGGTAGGGTATACCCGTACGATTTCGTATCCATGTATTTGAGCATCGCTCTCATGTTTTGTTCATTCCCATCGAATATGTTTGTCAACAGTCTCAAAAGGTTCACCGTCAGTTGTTTAGAAATCTGAATAACTTAGATTGGTATACATTTCATCCCTGTGTAATAAAATTATTAGCATTTTGATTTGCGTTTCAGAAAATTCTTTCAGAAGCTGCCAAACTAGGAGAGCCAAAAACATTTGCTTCCAATCCTGATTTAAAGAAAAAGAACAGATACAAGAATATTCTTCCATGTGAGTTGTATGGAGAACTTTAGTTGTACTTCAAATTGTTTTCCACAATAGTATTTTGTCACATCATTGTGAATATAGACAACGACATATTTTACGCGGCAAACGCATGCGTGGTATTAGTGAAAGTGATTCTTTGTGCAATTTGACCTTAATGTTGAAATCTCAATAACCTTCACGCCTTGTAAAAACGATATTATGAGTCAAGCTTAGATGACTTCGACCCGACGGACATAGAAAGGTTAAGAATAACACAATTGAGATACAAAAGTTCATTAAAATTTGATCTGACCTCCGGCATGTATGTTTCTCATTCAGTAGTTGTCAGGGTTAAAGAATAAAAAAAGCTCAGTGCATATTTTTGACATCGTAACGAGATTTCAATGATTGTGATGATTTTCAATGACTCAGTTGTGAATTTCCCTTTTCTTTAGTTGATGAAACTAGAGTGAAAATTTTACCCGAAGAATCGGGATATATAAACGCCTGTTATATTGATGTAAGTATAAAACGAATCGCTATAACTTTTTGCCTTACGTACGCGTCTTATGTTTTTAATATACTTTCAAAAAACAACCGTATCTCTGCCAGGTAAAGAATACAGTAGATATATATGCCGGATATTAATGTATGATAAAACAAACAATAATATAGGGTAATCCCGTAGTATGTGAACCAAGATGGCGGACACCGGAACGTAGTATGTGTATTTTTAAGGGGCACAACAAGCGACGTAAATACATCGCAACTCAGGGACCTCTTGCAACAACTGTTGATGATTTTTGGCAGATGATAATTGAGCATAAATGTTATTTGATCGTGATGCTAACAAAGGAAAGGGAGGATGGAAAGGTAATTTGACTTCAATTGTATTTCTGAACTAAAATTCTGACAAGAGACGTCTATGTCAAGATTCTATGGCAAAAGATTCTATGCCGAAGTTGGTAATGGGCAATATGTAAATCCCAAAATGTTCACCAGTATGTTATTCAGTGCTAAAATTGCGCATTATAAACCTCAAATATCCCATAACAACTCAATCAATCATAGAATTATGCAATACAATATATGGATACGATGAGCATTACAAAAAAGACTTGTTGACGCAAGAAAATTATGTTGAATACAATCAAATTCTATTTGTAGAAAAAGTGTGAAAAGTATTGGCCCGATAAGAACAAAAACCAAATGTTTGGTTCCGTGCTGGTGGAAAATATACATGAAGTCAACTACGGCTCGTTTATAAAGCGAAGTATTACTGTGAAGTCTCGTAATAAGGTAAGAAAAAGTCGCGCCAGTCAGTCAGTCAATCGCGTATTTGGTATCACAAAAGCATGTACTAGAGTCGATACAATAATAAATATATTATTATAGCTATTTGTGTGGCAGGAGTCGCGAGGGACCTCATGAGGTTTTCAAGCAGCGACACCTATAACGCTGTTGTTGGTTTAGTGTGAAAAGTTACTGCATATGTTATGTAATAGGGCATGATGGTAAACACATTTTGAGTATAACACATAAAGTATCGATGAAATTCACAGCAAAGGCAATTTTGTCTAATTTATTATTAAAAATACGAGTAAACATATGAAAAAAAATTACTTTGCATATCCATAAGTTCAGTGTAAAATATCACTTGTACGGCACAATGAATGTAGTATCTGTAACCGCCTATCATATTTAAGCGCAATAACCGATGATATGAAGTTTACATGGGTATATAAACACTGTTTCTTCAATTTTTATGAAAGGTTTTCAGCCCGTTTTTGGGAATCTTTCAATTTTGCTGCTGATTAACGTTGAATTTTTTTTCATCACACAATGTACTTACTGTCCTCTAAGCACTGATCTGACGTCACGTGGAGGAGGTAGAATTATTATCTTAACCGCAATTTAACTGGCACATGACCCGAGTTGCGTTGGCGTATGGCCACGACTAAAAGAATTTGTAAATAGGTCGCTGACCTATACATTCAGGATCAAATGCTTTATTTTAGGGTCTTGATGTCACGTTAAATGTATACCAGTATCAATTCTTGAAATGGCCTGACCATGGTGCACCGGCAACCACTTCAGATTTATTACGAATGCATCGGGCTGTGATGGAAAACTATGAGGAAATCGGAAAGGGATCTCCAATTGTAGTTCATTGCAGGTATTACAACGCACAGCCTAGAAATCGTTATAGGTTTATTTGAAATTATCAGTTTCAGAACTATGTGCAAACCTCATTTCTCTGCAATGCCGATCACCCAACTCTGTCGTACCTCTCAGGATCATCTTAGACATTGGGATTGCTTTTCTGTAGAAGTACAGATTTGTAGAAATTATATGAAGATAAATAAAATTTGATGATATGCTTCGTCTGCGTTATATCGACGCTTTCTATTCAATATTGTTCTAGTGAATTTTCCGTGGGTAGAATCCGCGAGTTACATGAATACCAGGTCCTTAAAATTCTACTTTAGCATAGGGATGGTAAACCGACAAAAATAGGATCTATCAAAAACGTATGATCTGCGACAAACAAATTATCGCGAAAATTTTAACACCTTCGTTTTCTTGGCTCTCTAGCGCCGGTGCAGGACGAACGGGGACATTGATTGGTTTTGATATTCTGCTTGATGAAAGCAAGTCTGTAGGATCTATTGACGCCTTTGCTTGCGTTCTCAACATGAGGAAACAGAGAGTGGAGATGGTGCAAAATTCGGTGAGCTATATCTTATATTTTTGCCCATACCGTGATATTCATTATTCGGCAACTGCACCCTCAAATGAAATCAGATGTTCAACAAGAGAGCAATGCTAAAATATATGGACACGAGGGCCAAAACAAAGTAGTATCAAATCATTTACAGTACCGAAATATCGAAATAAACAAAGTTAAAAGCGTTCCAGCGACAACAACAATCTTTTTATTACTAAATATTTCAAAGCAATTGGTCAAGTAGTTTTCACAACAACAACACAATTACCGCACGATTCATAGATCCATTTTTTGTCCAATAATATTATTATTTTTTAGGATCAATACGTGTTCGTTCACAAGCTCGTATTGGAAGCCATCTTGTTTGAAGACAGAGATTTATCTTCTGATGAAGCAAAAGCTAAATTAGAAAAGATAAAGTATGAAAAATTTCTTTTTATATATTCGTTCTTGATAAATGACTCTCCACTAAGGCTTTACGGTTTTCCTACACAGATTTGCTAGCGTATACGTGTTGGTGAGGGCATGGTTCAGTATTGCAGTTGTATTTTTATAAATGCCCAGTCAGTCTGTACAGTAGTAGGGTCGAAGTAAAGTAATTTTTTTGTGATGTTGTCGGATGGTGGTACCAAAATTACATATGCAAAAATTACTAGAAGTACTTAGGGTACTAAACTACACTAGATCCTGGTAGTACAATTCACTGTATTTTCCGGTACCTTCTCCAGCTGAACTTGGAAATTTACTATTATCGCTAAAATCAATTAATACAATAACAAGTGTCGAATAAATTTAAATTCCAGGACTCCTGATGGCGAAGCTTCGATAAAGAAAGAATTTGAAGATTTAAATCGAATTGGACCAATGAAAAACTCAAAATTGCGTGGGCTCGATGGTAAAAATAGGAAAATGAACAGATCAAAGAAATCTATTCCATGTAAGTTTTATAAACTTTATATTTCCAATCAAACATTTTTTTATGTATAAAACTACAAAAGCCAATTTTTGTTGACCACATTTGCCTGCTTTACATATTTATACAGCTTGGGAAAGTCTTCAAAATGCTCAAGAAGGGCTTTAATAGACTCTCATTACTGGTCAAAAATAATAAACGTTTAAAATACCCAACCTTTCAAAATATTTTATTGTCCTGCCGATACAGCGCCGCGAACCTTCAGGATGATGTAAATGATTGCTATGTAAATCAAACTTTACTAAATCAACTTGTCTTTAATCCCCCTTTTTTTCTAGACGACTACACACTGGTAACAATATTCATGCAACAAGATGAAGATGAGATTCCTTATATGAATGCTTCGTGGGTAGAGGTACATTTAAAATTGACACTAGTTATTCAACTTATTCCATACTCATGAGGCCTATATATAAAAAAAAAACATATAAATGAATAATGCCATTGTCTAAAGAATTATTGAACTTCACGCTTCAGGATTCAAATATATTTGAAGTTATTAAAAATCATTCCATTGGCCAATTTCTTATTTGGTCCCAAACGAAAACTACTTGGAAGAAATATACTGTATACTTCTTTTAGAGCAATGATGAATCAAGTCCAATGATCGCCTCTCAAGGTCCAACTTCATCAAACATTGATTTATTCTGGAGATTGGTTCTGGATAACAACGTTAATACAATCGTTATGTTGACGAAACTCAAAGAAGAGAAAGAGGTTAGAAATATAAAATATAAATCAGACTGCCAACTAAGGAACGATCTTGTTCATGTTTATTCACTTCAAACCAAATTCTGCAATGATGTTTCGCTGAACTGACTTATTGCTTATTAATAATTTTAGGAACAATGTGCTCAGTATTGGCCTACAAATGTTGGTGAAGTTATGAAATGGAATAACTTATCTGTAACTAGGATTAGTGATGAAACAGAAGCTTCCATAACGGAGAGAAAAATTCGAGTGGACCGAGGACCTCAATCGGTGAGTCATTGCTATCATTCCTATAGAAATTTCAATATAAAACAATGCAGTAGGTTGCAATAAATGACTATTGTGGCACCGCGGGTTGGCAGGTTGCAAGTTTCAACCCTTATGCAAGTTTCATTTCCACTCACGGTACAATGAACTGGTTAGTAATGGAAAAAAAACGTAGAATTCCTGTGTTTATGAAAAAACATATAAGTGCTGCATTCATAGCTCGTTTGGAGCGAAGTTACAGTAGACACTCTAGAACAAGTAGGTAAAAATGCCAGTCTATCTACTCACTACTGTGATTGTTATACCATTTTTGATTGACCTAATTCGTAAGGTATTATACTGCTTTCAGTGACCGAATATAAAGCAATAAATTTCTGAACATTTTCTCATTTATTCAGAAAACAGTGACCCAGTTCCATTACATTGGATGGAAATCAACAAGTTGCCCTAAAGATGGAAGAGAAATAATTGATCTTGTAAATAAGATGCAGAAAAATATCCGATCAACTGGAAATGGAGTTACTCTCATACATTGCAGGTATTTATCGCCATCAGTACTTTGGTGAGAATGAGATTTATGTCTCAACGATTTGTAGCTGTGTACTTTGTTTTAGCCCAAATCTAATATGGCAAAAAAAATATTGAATAATCACATTGTTTCTCAATATCTTCTATTTCAGTGATGGTATCGGTCGAACTGGTGTATTCTGTGCAACAGTGAACCTGATAGATCGATTGAAGTGCGAGAATCGAGTTGATGTTTTCAGGACCGTGAAAGATCTCAGAGATGGAAGACCAAACATGGTGGAAACTTTGGTAAGAATAGTCACATCATTTTTTCTTTTAATTTCTTCTTATGTCATGGCGGTCGCCCAACCTATTCATCACAGTATCGTGATGAATCATCAACCTCGGTAATCTAATTATGTTATTGTGGAATGATTTTTCAAATTACCTATATAAATGTGATATTCACGTGAGTGAGTATGTAACGTAAAATAAGATTATATATATACAGCCATCGCATATACAGTCAAAGTGATATCCGTATACAACCAACCTAATATACACATACAGCCATTCAAGTTATGTGCATGCAAAAGTATTCGATTTAGTATGCATTTAGCGTTGCCTATCGTTTTATTTATTGTAAGCGAAATAGTACATCCATACACCAACAAAATACATCTTTAATAGTACCATATTGACGTGATGCTTTGCTTATTCGACAACAGATAACGCTCTGATTTCAAAAACACGGTGATACATGCATTTATAAATAATTGGTTGTATATGTATTAGTGTAAATGGCTGCATATGTACGTGAGTTGAATTTATATTTGGCTGCATATATACGTAAATAGATTATATATGTATATTTAGGCTGTATTTATATTTATTGTATCACCCCTATCGGTTTATTTTAATATTTGAGAGTGTTGAGAATTGTTTCAGAAAATGATTCATTAAACAATCGTTTAAAAAAGGCCTATTTTGTAGTACATAAAGACACCGACTCGTAATGGCAGTGGTGTAAAAGTAAATTGCTTTGGGCAAAAAATTTGTAACATGTTTTTATCGTAGGTTTGTTATCCTGACACCCAATTACAACCGTGTACAAAAATTATATAGTTTTGAAAACGTAAACATATTAGTCAATTTTCATTTGTATTCTCCACGTATCACTGCTTTGGTTTCTAAAACACAAGTATAATTTATTTCAGGATCAATACAAGTTCTGCTATCGAGCTATTGTGGAATATCTGAAATCATTCGATCTTTATTCAAACTTTTAACTTTTCATTACGACATGAAACGTTTATTTTCATTATTCTCTCCTATCGTTCATCCATGATGAACGATTAATAAATTTATTTGAAAATTTGAGTGTTTTCTATGTTGTTTTTATTCCTATTTTAATTTATTTATTATAACAGAATAAGAATCATAGCGTCGATATTTATCAAATCATATCTTTTCTGTACTTGTTCTTCACTGTATCGTATATATATATATTATTTATGTATTATCACGTACGTACGTTTATATGAAGTAGTTTAAGGAATCCTGTAGTGATACAATTCAATATTTGCGTTTCAAAGTACAATGGTTGGCTGATTTCACAAAAATCAGAGCCTTTAATAATATCTTCACAAAACAATTTGCTCAAGATCTTTAATGTGGAAACAGCAGTAGAGTTTAAGACTGATTGACACACATACACAATCAGTCATGCGACAGAAATGTCAATGGATAGCTGTACACGCCAAACTTGATAATTCACATTAACTAATAAACAAAAACCCAGTTTTCTTATAGAATTGGCCTTTCGCACTTTTACATATATTTTCTGAACATTGGATATATTTTTGGAACACGCTTCAGGTTATTTTATAGTATAATTAGAATATGATATTGGAACGTAAAATAGTTGAGTCTGAGTGTTGAAATTTAATAAATGTAAAATGGATGGTAATCGTTCTATTATGATTTATTTCATGTTTGAATTATTATAAAATTGTTTGGGTAAATAACTGTTTCATGCATATTCTATTCAAAAGATGATTATAATAAAAGCACAAAGAAACGTATGTCTCGTTGTAATGGTGTGTTTTCCCTACCTGTGATGGTACTAACATGCCTAGTTTGTACAAATTGCCATCTATGCCTGCTGTTGGTGATTTTTGGTGAGACGAGAACAAAATTTTCGTGCCGTCATTGTTCGGATAATAAATTATGCACAAATATATGGACATGAAAGCCCAAACGACTCTAGTCTACCCGCTATTTTCTCAAAACCTTATCCCACACGGAGCTAGAACTATGAACAGCTACCGGTAACTGGGTCTAGTGTAGTATAGTATCACAAGAACTTCTAGTGGGCGTGGCGTAACAATTTATGAACATGTCTTTCCTGACCCAAAACTGACTGCGCCATCTAAAAATTACATCCCTGCTACGTCATAATAAAAAAACGATCCATAAGTCCATTAACGTGTCCTATAATTTAAAGCAACCTGTTGCGCATTCTTGGTCAACTTCGACCTTTATCCTCATGCAGTACGTCTGGAAACACAGCATTGGTATTGGTTGACTGTTTTTTTTTTTTTCCAAAGTCTAATGAACAGAGTTAATGGCAGATCCGGCAGGAACAGATCTTTTCAATATAGGGATTTTTACACTCGTTCGCCATAGCGGTTGACTGACGACAACTAATTCTCTAACACCAGAGCTTTTTCCTATTACCGACCGCTGTAGCTAATGTTAACGTGATTTCGTTTTCCTCTACATCAGGGATTCTCAATCTTTTTTCCGTCACGTACCCCCCGAGTCACGAAACAATCAACGCGAACCCCCGGTGATCAGACACCGAACAAAGTTGTGATGTACTGATATATTTACTAACAATTTGTTGCAATACCAATTTATTGACTATATGTAACTAAATTAAATCGTCTTGTTGATATTATTGCCCTTGTCGTCTGCCTAACTAATGAATTCTTAAAATATCTCACAAGTTTCAATGAGCATAATCACTTCTCCAATGCTCGCAGCACGCTGTCTTTAGAGATTTCACAGTTTGTACGCAAAGCCTCGAATTTCACACTGTTGCATCACAATCACAAGAATGCTAGATCATGTAAAATCTACGTTTCAATTGGGGTCTAGTTTCAATGGGCACGCATTTTCCCATGGTATTAATAAAGGATATTAAAAAAACAGCAACCTACAAAAACTCGACTGTCATCCAAGTACCCCTGGACATCTTCTTGTGAACCTCTGGGGGTTTGCTAACACCCGGTTGAGAGCCCCTGCTCTACATGATTTCTTGTATTTGTACCTGGAGTTAAAGTTTTCTCACTTCTAAAAACGAGCAATGCTCAAATATATGGACACGAATGTCAAAAGACTAGTTGCAGCTTTTGCGACAGACACGGAAAATCTGTTATACGATCATTTAAATCAAAATTAAAAAACAAGCCCCATCACTGAAGCATTTCACATCAGTACCGGTAAAATCTTATCTGAGAATCGGGTTTGCCGAAAAGATGGCGCACTATAGATTGGCCGAATGACAACGTTGTGGCGCAGTATATGCGCAAATGGATTAATTTGGGGTGAAATATCGAGTTCGTTGGGGCTTAAAAGAACAGCGAATCTCTTCTAGCGACTTCCTTCATCTTCAAGTACTGAATATTTGAAATCGATTGGTCCACTTGTTGTGGAGAAAAGAGCTTAACAACAATAATAACATTATAAATAGACAATTTTCTTTGTGAAATGTCGAGTCCACTTGAAGTGGAGTAAATCGTAATAGCAATCAAGCAAATATATACCCAGGCACACTTCGTACTCGTGAAACATGCGTATATGAAGGGCTAAATTACCGTTTGACGTGTCCAAATAAAACTTCGTTTTGAAAATATATCTACGGTTGAGATATCTTACGTAACACTGATGACATAACTGGTGAAAGAGTTCGGCGTGACCGGTGTTGGTCTAAAACAGACATGACAAAGTTTTGTTAACGTCCCCATAACGCTCTCGCTCTTTTTGTTCAACTCACGCATTCTCGCCGTGTAATTTAGTCTATCGTTTCCCGATATTTTCTAGTAATCTGTTTCTTCATCTCTTTACTGCACCCTAATTCGTGAATATTGATAGCAAATTTATTAAAGACTAATTTGTGTCTACATGAGTGCACCAAGGCCCTATTTTTTCACTTCAGCATGACATGGCTTCCAACCTAGGTAGGCAAAATCTTTGGCCCCCGGTTCAAAAACCTTGGCCACCCCTGATTTTAAAAGCTTTGCAAAAGTCAGTTTATAGCGCGACAAGTATGGCAAAATTTATCAGTTATTAACGCAATGCTAGTAAACTCAACTTTTTGAAGAAACTGTAAAAAAAAGAAGAAAATAAGGCAATGCAAATCTTTTAGTATAGGCTTTGAAACATATTGGTATCATGATTATTCAACGCAATAATAACCTTTTTTAGTGTAACCAATTGAAGGAAAGTTTGTTGATTATGTTAGGATTTTCATGTACACTTCAAATGAGGAACACCAATCTTAACGTAGATATCAACGGGCGAGAATCTAGACTTGGCGGCTATAGTTAAAAACAGCTACCAATTTTTTCCACGAATTTGACCAGATTCAGAAGCTGATGCGTAGTAGATGCTACGTAGTTGCGTGAGTATAAATTATGTCACACGTATAAATCTAAATTTCAAATAAGATTATGACAAAAATTGAAAACGATCTGCTGAACTACAAAAAAAAATCATTTACTATACTGTATTTACGTATGTAGTCATATCTTAAAAAACGACAATGATTTTGCAGCCAGTGAGAGATTTATAAGGATATCAAAAATGTGATGGTACTGGCAGAGGATGATACCCTTGATGGTATAACGCATACCCCCAATTTGTGTATTAACCACCGTGATAGGTTATCGCCAATCTTATATTTCAATTATTTCCCTTTTTCCTTTATCAAAAGGGGAAGCTCCTCGGCATACCTTTTATTAATACATTATATCATGTTCATTTCTGCAAATGTTTGGGGTATCTTTATCTAATATAATACATCATCATTTCAGTAATACGAGAGCAAATTTCAAATATATCTGCACGGAGATCAAATGTCAAAAAGATGACCACACGAATAATAACGAAACAACAATATTTTTTTAAAATATTGAATCCTGTAGCAATCAGAAAAATAAGTAGTAACCTACGAACTACTTCAATTTTCAAGTACTGAATATTTGTTGTGCTGAAATGCAATATTTTGACAACAGATAATTTAACAAAACTATTCATATTTCATATAATGATATGATGAAGCCATATTCCATTATGTTCACAAATACTGTACAGATCATGATATAAAGACAAGTAGGGTGAGGTATAACAAGCAAATTTTTTTAAGACTCAACCTATGTGTGTGTGTGTTTCGAATACATGCCGACTCGACGTTTTAGTAAGTGACCCGGCGCTTAGAATAAGTCACATAGATCAACCTTTCTAGTGTAATAAATAGAACGGGCAACATTGTTTTGCCAGTTCTTAGTATTTCTGCCTACGTATCCTGAACATCATCAATGGCGTAATAACAATTAATCACTGCCAAAATATGACTCTTAACTCTTGACAGCGGGCTATAACGAAATATGTATTGTTTTGGACAGCAATTATCAACGTATGTTAGTACCGATATGAATAGATGCCCTGAGTTTAATGTTACGTTATGTTGCGGGGGGCCGACATCTTGAACCAGCTTTCTGAAATGTGAAAACGGTAACAGGAAGTTTAGAGTTGATTAGTGACGTGCTTGGTAGTGCTTCCAAGCTACGAGGTTGAACGCTACCGATTTCAACTAGAATTTATGAAAGTAAATTGAGATAAAAAATTGCAGATATGTCATTTTCTATTATTTGAATTGTGGTCGTGTGATGTTCTTATTGCGTATCTATCTCTATACTGTCATTATGTTATTATTTTGTCGGAGCACACGTGTTGCAGAAGATGCCGACGAGCACCGAACGCGTTAGCTTCAATAAAAATGTTTAGAATCAATGCACATATATGTATATAGTTTATGTCTTTTATTTCTCTTTCAAATTCTGCTTTCAATGGGAAGTCTGTGAGCATTTTCACATATTCGTACAGAAACAAGCACATAAAATCTTACTAAAAATGTGAACACCCTAAAACCATTTTCAATGGTTATTGTTTTTCTATATCAACATTAGAACTAACTAATATTCTAGAATCTAGACAATGCGGCAACAAGAACTTTTGAATTATTTTCCTGTTGTTTTAAAGAGTCAGTACTCATTACTAAGTTTAACGCGTTACGAGAATTTGAATTTACTCTAGTCATTGATTCACTAAACAGAATACTGTATATATTTTTAACTTCAGTTCGTCAGCATAGTTCCAGCAATTACATATATAATTGAGTAATAAGACAGCGCTATACAGCGGAACTAGGAAAGTTCACTCCAAAACTGTTTCTGGTTAAGCTGTATTTATGCATTTGAATGGAAATATTGAAAAAAGGGGGAAAATGATCAAGTTTAGAATATCATTATTCTGTATCATCATGTCAATACTACTTGGAGTCTCTCACGCACAAGGTAAGATAATTTTTTTCGAAATAGTAATGGCATTGAACGTTGAAATAGATATGTTTTCGTAACGTCTTATGCAACTCGCATGTCAAATATGTATATATACAGTAGTTTGATCATATTGTGGCATTAATCAACAGCGGAAGAAATAAGATTACCTCTTCATTTTACCATAATTTATTTACAGATGTGAAGTAATCTTTATTTTTAGAGCTGAACAAATCAATTTTTTTATAAAAAAATTACTACGCAAAAATTGCGATTCTTCAGGTTTTTACCGATTCCATTGGTAAATCTTATTATCATCTCATTATCTTGGAGTAACATCACAAGCATTTTTGCGCTTTTTAAAATGGATGGCCGATCGACTAGTATATTTTAATTATACTGTTGTTGTTATTCTCGAATTGTTTCTATATAGTTCGATGGACAACAAAATGTGTGGATCAGTATGAACTGACTTTTTTTAATGATATCCCGAAGAATTACGAAGGAGCAATAGCTGCCTGTGAATCACGGGGAGGATACTTGGCAAAAGTTGATAATCAAAGAATGACTTATGTCATCAATGCAACTTTCGAGTGAGTTTATAAATTTAGTATTAGGTGCAAGCCAAGTCCAATAACTTTATTTTTGAATTAATTCCGAGCTACTACACTCACAAGTCAAGTCGATCCATATCCGTTTATTGTTGAAACAATCTAGCAAATTCCGATTTTCCTAATACAGCATTCATAGTGTGTTAACTTGTTCTTCAAAGAATTTTTTCTATTTTAAAGACTTTTCTCCTAGTCCCATGGCAATGTCCAATAGCATTTGGTCTAGTGTTCGAGTCATTTCGACTAGATGATTCACCTCGGACTTACAAAAACGGTGACTCGAGTCTCCCCGACACTGAGTATATTTGTATGAACAAATTGCATGCCCAACATAGGAAAGGCATCTACCGTACTTATTGAATAGCTTAATATTGTTTTTAGTGCAAATTTTTAAGTGTTTGTTGAAACTCCAAGTGTTTTTAAAGCAGTTGGGCTATTATTTATCTCGTTGGATTAAAATTTATTCTTGTTTGAAAATTCCAGACTCGTTGGATCAATTAATTCCTACTTCATTGGAGGTAACGACAGAGCTAAAGAAGGAGTTTGGAAATGGCAGGATGGTACTGATGTAATAATGAGAGGAGAAATGGGATATCAAAACTGGTAATAAACTGGTAATAAATTAACCATTATGTGTTTTCTATCTTATTCTGTATATATTTCATAAAATTTAACATAAGAATTTCTGAAGAAGAATTTCTGATTTCCGAAAGCATTTCTGATATTGCGTTGTCGGTAAGGACAAATTAAATCTATTCGAAATCTGATATTGAACAAATAAATTGATTAATAATTTCATTGATTTATACATTTATTGAAGGAAATACAATCAGCCGAACAATGATGGTAGTGGAGAAAATTGCTTGTTGATAGGAAGAGACACTTATCATTGGGTTGACAGCTTCTGCCATGGAACTTTATTTTACATTTGTCAATCAGGTTATTTTTTTTAATAGTTTCTAATCTAAGCCATGACAAAAAACTGAGATAAATTGCGTGAAACCGAAGCAAAAATAACGTTGTTTCAAGTATCAGCACAAATCTATCAGGTATAGCCGTAGAAGAAGGTAAATTCCGTTTTCAGAAATGTTTTCCAAAATTGAAAGCAACATTTAAATACACGACAATTTTGAGATAACAAGGGTCGCAAAAGTTTGAATTACTCCGACTTTGGGTTTCAAGTCTAAAATCTAAAAAAAAATCTAAAAAAAATGTCCCAATCCACCGATGAAGACTCTTTTCTAATCTGAACCCCACAACTAATTACTAATTGACAAAATCGAACGTGCTAAACGTACTAGGAAGAATATTTTCCGCGTTTCACAGTCGCAATTTTTGTTGTTTTTAAATGTTACTTTGATTTTATTTCTTTTAAATATATCCTGTAATCGCTATTTGCATTAAATTATAACCACTGAGACCAATACACAAACCGATACCTGAAGAGGTACGAACTATATAGCAACCAAGTCTTGGAATTGTTGCATTTTTTACCAATTCAACAAATGACTTAAAGTAGTTTGTTCATGTTCGTCCACTCGAAACTTGTTAGTAGACATAATTTCATTTAACACGAACCAATAATAAATACGATACAATGATAAATAGATTGCGACAATATTACCCACAAAAGTTTCAAATAATTGTTGCTTACATTAATAATAATTTACAGATTAATTACAGCGATAAATAATTTACGATGGAAGCACTTCCTTCAGCGAATAAATAAAATATTAGGGGCAACTTAACATGATAAAATATACTAGATGAAAATTCATTAGTTCACTCAGGTATTTGAGCATCAAATTTAGATAAAATTAGGAATGGGAATTGAGAATATAGAATTATAATTGAAATTATCTGAAAATTATTCAATATCATTTAGATTACTTTCTACATTATGCAAAAAAATGTCCTTTGTCTCGTCCAGTATTACGTTAACTACAAAGCGAGCAAACGTATCTGACAAAGCCCCAACATTGCAGCAACAGCGCCTCGCGTCGCCGAATCAGCTATTACCATCTTAGGTTTTTGTACAAATGACTTACTGAAAAATATCTAAAGCAGAGCATTCAACACCGGAAATCGGCAGTGATGATGACCCGTCACACCACGAAAAAATATGTCGAGTAAAGAATTGCGTGAACATAACTGCAGAATGGTATAAGGAATCCTCTCATGAACAAGTTACAACAGATTTTAAAAAAAATAGAATTTATCAGAAAATAGATGGAAGTTCCTCCACGCTACACTTTGACAACGCAACAATTTTGGACATAGGGAAATACTATTGTCGTGCTCATAATTCAAGCAAGGAATTTTTCGACTTCAAAGGTAATTGTTTATATTTCTTAACATTAAATTCAAAAACTTGGAGTCATTAATCTTTGGTGATGTTCTTTGATCAAATTTTCGTTCAAATATTTGGAATTGCATTTGTGACAACAGGCTCATAACCAGTTGAACCAATCCTTTTGCCACAAATTAACAACATTTTACTAGTAACAGAGCTAATCTATACCGAATTGTATTTGTCAAAAGCTTCCAATACTATTCCAGTATTGATTACCGCAGTCAATTTGAGTGAAAAATTGGATAACTAAAGTATATCAAACACTTCTAATATTTGCGCCTTCATCACAGTTGATGGAAATCCAATGATTACATCAATCACAAATTCATCATGTAGCCGAAGTTTGTTCGTTACCTGGAATCCAAGCAGATATGCAGTTGGCTTTCGACACAAGTAACTATCCTATTTATTCTTCTTATTAAAACAGGTTATTTTACAAAGTTGGTTATTTTATAAATTTTTTAAAAAGGTGAATATTTTCAAGTCACCTATTAGACAAACGCCCTGAAACATGAGCATTCATTCATAATTTTTTACTTCCGCGTACCAGTCGAAGCTCATGTCTAGTTCGAAGTACCCGTACTGATTAGGAGAGCGTTAACTTGTCTGGGCGAAGGTTCGCTAAGAAAATATTTTTATTTCATTTCAGAATTACAGCAAATAATTATATTACCGAAGAAGAAAGCTTTTCAACATTCATTATTCCTAAATCAAACACATCAGTGATCAGTGAGATTTCAGGATTAAAGACAACTACTGAATATAATGTAACGGTGAGTCGGTATTGTGATACTGGTATTATTTTTCACCAGAACTCTTAATCGAGATATCACGTCCAGAATATATAAACAGGAAGTATATCGAAACGTTATTTCCGGCAAAATGTTTATATCAGTATACACAAAAGTATAGCGTGTAGTAATATGTCGCATTGTCTGCAATTTTATTCCAAAATAAAGCATTCGAAATTTTCAGGAGTTGCTATGCATATATACAGACACACAAGTCGAATACATGTAAAAATATGTGAGACGCCACATTTGGGACTTTTCCCAAAAAGAATTCCTATCTTCAATACTCATATATTCATGTATATTATATATCAGATCAAAGTTTGTGTGTCAGACGATGAATGCCGCTCAACTTATTCAGCTACTACAACTGCAAAAACAGATGGAAAAACACAACCCGTGACGTCTGCATCTCTATCGACCAACTGTTCTATACAATGGATTTGGAAAAACAATAACCAACCAGTAAACGTTGCAGGTTTGAAAGTAAGAGACAGGTTTGAAAATAGAAAAATGAGGACATCGAAGTAGACATGACCCAATCATCTTTCTATTTTTTCAGTCTCTCAGATTCATAGTTTGAATGGCTTAACTTGGCTCAAATGAAAACTAAATTGCAAATGCTTGGAATATCTTTCACTATTGAGTATTAACTGTTAATTTCAGGTCACGAGATATTGCACTACAATTGCAACACGATCGAATGTAAACTCTCCCCATATGAACTCATTCAACATATCAATGCCGCGTACATTTACCCCGGGACCCAACAGAAACTGCACAGTATCAATACAAGTTATCGGATGTGCGGGACTGAGCGAGGCAGTGAATGCAAAAGGATATTGTGTTGGAAAACCAGCAGGTTTTAATTATTTTATCAACTGTACGCAGAATTTCAGGAATAGATAACTCATTCAAAGTATAGATAGAAATCTTTGCTTATAAATGCAGATTGAATGGGACGTAGACGTCAAGCCACAGAAGCTCAATTTCTTTTTTACATGCAACTTATCCTTACAAATTTATATCAGTAAATTTATTATTACATTTTTGTTACAACACTGTAAGTTGGCTATTACCTGCCCGCCAACACCTATCATAGATATAATAAAAGAAAACAGATCAGAGAATCCGTGGTGAGGAAACAATGAGATATACCTGATAAACTTCTTAATAAGCACTTGTGTAAGAAGTCATTCAATGTGTTTTATTACAACGTAGTGATATGTTTAAGCTATATAATTTTGGATCCGATTCGAAACTATATATGCTCGTGCTATCAATCAATGTTTAGATATGGTAGCGGTATACTTACCTGACTTCGATCGGTATTATTTCAAAGCGACGGATCAATATTTTTACGCCGCAATTTGATGTCAATTTATGAGTTAAAATAATATTTTATTCCATACAAGCCACAGTTGTTGGTAAAAGGAAATCTCATATACAGATCTGTTGTTTACCATGAATAAAACCAACAGAATTTGAGGTAATATTGTGCCAACCTCTGCGTATGACTATTCATTGTCATTACGAAGAAATAGCCAAATACTGGTCACAGTCTGCAAAAGAATCGAAAATACTTGTATAAAATAAAATCTCGTCTAAATACTATCATATTACAGAATGAGAAAACTAAATTGATTAAAATCTTTTGTATCACGCCATGAAAAACTAGTTCGCATAAATTGATTAATTACTTTTACTGTTACTATATTTGAGGATGGCTTTTCCATTTTTTTTCTTCTGCAGCACCGGATGCAATAGCAAAACCAATCGCTTCCTTTGATGCCACCGACAGTAACGGGATTCGCAAAATAACCGTGACTAAACCCGATGACAGCAACGGTTTACTAAGGTTTGTATTGTGAAAATACAACTACTAAATATACTACTTAAAATAAAGGTATAGCCGTACCGACGACCTATGGTTGATTTTCTAAATTCAAATTGCTGTTGTTCTCTTGTCTTCTGAAGTAACCTATCAACCTATTTTTCAAAACAAAATAAAAGAAAAAAAAACTAATTAGGATATTCATTTTAATTTATCTGTAATTTCATCTGAGTCATATGATGCCCAATCACTTCCCATCAGCGGCACTTGTTTTAATATTTTTACTAAAAATCATAATTTAATTTTGAACACTTAAGCTATTTGTTTGCAATGGTAAAGTATAGGGGGAATTTTTTGGGAATCAAGGCACGGGGAAACGTCCAATATATTAGTCATTTGACCTTCATGCCAGTATATTTTTGCATATTTGCATTGCTCTCGTTGTTCATTTTGTAAATATGTTCATTCCATTCAGCTGTTTATTTATCATCGTACATGATGAATCTTCTGGTGAAAACACACATTTCAGGATGGAGAATTTGATCAAGGCACAGAGCTCAACCACAGAATATATCGCCGTATCGTTGCCAGTTTACAGGTTTGCTGTAAAAGTAGCGCAAATAATTTTTGATATGACTGTTATTATATGATAACCATGGACGACAATAATCAAACAAGTTTACAGATTGAAATTTGCTGATGACTTACAGACGGGAATATTCGTAAAATGAAACATCAATTACATGAAACAATTTCACATGTAACAGACCCAGTCTCTCTTAAATTATTACTCCTAACTTCTAGCAACTTTTTCTTTTTTACCATTTTACCATCATGGCAGATTTACTGGCGATAGGCATGTCGTCAATCTTGGCGATAGTTCGGGATCATCTTGTAACGTCACTCAAACAATCGATGTCTTATCCAAGAAACGAAGGCGACGGAGAAATGTCGGGGAGCATGCAATATTTGTAGGACAGAATCGGAAACTTAACAGAGAAAAATCTTACAGGTGTGCTAGTTTTTAATCGACGATACAAGAGTCAAAATATCAATGTTCGGTGCTAGATGTACATAACCAACGCGCTGCTCTAAAATCTATTTTTATCTCAAACCGTATTTAATAAGGTTATTTCACTCAATGTTACTTTTTTATCTGTAGTGTATTCGTCGTGTCAACAACGCCTTGTGAAAATGAAATTTGCTTGCGAACGAGTCCGTCAATACTGCTGAGTGAGTAACTTTTTAAATTTCTCTTTTATTTTCAAAACATGGTCACAAGCCTTTTTAAGGGTAGAAATAGTACAAATAGAATAGATTCCAGGATACGGCAGAAATAAATAAAACATATATAGGTTTATCCTTTGCTTGAATAGGGGATACCAGCGGACACGAGACCTGAAACCAATCAGGTTATGAAAGCAACGAGCGTAGGATACGTGTATTCATTTCAACCAGAACCAAATCGTAACTAATCAGCACCTATAAAAATAATTAAATGCGTTTGACCTGTCAAAGGTTCTTATGTAGGAAATCCAACAGGTATAAATCTAATTCAATTATCATAATCCCAAATATTTACTTTTGCTCTACTCAATTGGATGTAATCATGAGAATTCACTCCCTCATGCGGGATTCATGGAGAATAGTTGGTGCATTATCTTAATTAAATTGTAGATATGTCGCAAATTAGTTTTTAATTATTGCTTGTACAGCGCAAAAAAGTGTGAAAATAGTATATAAAGCATAGCCGATATTAGTGAACCGTGTTTACTTTGTTGATGTATTATTTCGGCTGAAACCTGAATCAGAATTAAGTTTCAGGAAATATTTTAAAGGAAATGTAATTAGATACTAACAGATTATGTTCCGATAACTATATAATAATCCAATCGAAAATTCATGACAATGAACTATGACTTTAGCGGACAACGGTTCATTTCCTTAAAAAAATCATGAAATTTGAGAAACACCTACTGGAATATTTATTGTTTAAGAAAGTTTTCTTTCAATTTAGGGATAATATTATTCAACTTTCACATTTCAATATGCATGGTGAATTTCTCATTTTCAGTTGTGCTTGTTACAGACCCAAAACTTTCAATGCAGTTAGGAAATCTGTAATATTTAGGTTTTTGTTAAGGTTATATAATTTTTAGAAAAGAAATCGTTCGAGTTCAACATCGTCAGTTTTGTGATCGGTTTTCTTATTCCACTGATCTTCTACGTAGTCTTTGCCTTAATCATATACAAACTGATGAAGAAAAACAAGAAGTTAAAGAAAATTGCAGAAGCGAAAGAACACAATTACGAAACTATACAAGAAAAAGGTAGTAAGAACCGAAAAATTTCTCTTTCACGCGTAAAATATTGATCAATCATTAAAATATTCTGAACATTTAACAAGTACATATGACATTCACCAGCTTCCTTTCATCATCAATGGAAAAATATTTGAACATGATGTTAGGCAAATTTGAAAGAACCCGAAAATTGCCTTCTCATGAGTCATTCTCATCTCGGATTACTAAAATATGACAGAGATTGGTCTAGTATTTTTTGCATCGTGAAGTCATAGAAAATTTATATTTTGCAGTATTTTGTCATTTGCTCTTAAGTTAAGTGAAATCAAAGTGAAATCATCACTTTGAGATGTATGTTCGTCAACATTTAAAATTAAATTGATATTTCTGCTATAGTTGTTGAACGAACTTTTTATTTCATTAATCAGCAACTTTCTCCAACGACCCAGTTTCTCAACCATCATATTCGAACGTGCTACAGGAAACCGCCGGTTACGAACAAGCTCTACCTGCGACAACTAAGCAAACACAAGTGGAATCAGCTTACGAAACTTACAACACCTAATGAACTTCAGCTATGAAGTATCTACTCGAACATCATAAAATGAAAGATATCATGTTCGTGTCGATCGACATTGTTATGTTACAATCGGACCAAGAATTTATCGGTCTCTATTTACTTGCTCACTCAGAGTGTATTGAGCTCCTTATACTATGCCGTAAACACGTGTTGTCTTACATTATTATAAATGACTTATTTAGTTCTGGTAATTCTGTACATTCCATTATACTGCAATAAAGAAAATCAATAAGCGTCAAGTAAATTTTCAGTTTATCAATTTTC